TTTTTAGTTTTTATCAATAATTTGTAATGCTTTTAGCCAAAATTTTATACCACATGAGTTATAAGTAAATAAAATAATTCTATTGCTTATCCTATTTATATTACGCCCTTGAAAAAAAAAATTGTATATGTTATTTGGAGTAGAAGCTCTTTTTGTGCTTCGTACAGTTGCCTGCCTCAGCTACGCTTCGGCCGTCAATCTCTGTACTCACCACAAAAAGAGGCACTTCTACTCCTTATGACATAATCTACTATTTTTAATTTAATATATTTAATTTAACAAGAAATATTAATAGAAAAATACATATATTTCCCAAAAATACAATATTTTATCTCAAACCGTTTCAGAAATAATAAGAATAAAACATCTTCAGAGTCGCTTCTTTAGGGGCCCTTATATATAAAGTTTTTTTTTGTTATTATGGTCCTAAAAACCGCCTATAGATTATTCCACACTATTTTTGGGACACCCTGTATATTTATTTATGTTATCCGCTACCTATTTTTTAATAAAAGTACCTACCTACTACTAGTTCTAATTTATTTAATTTATTTGTATAAAAGTACAGACCATAAATGTAATTTAATAACATTAGAAAGATTACAGAACTCATCTAAATATTTTTCCTAAGATACAGTCTTAAAGTTTTTATATATTTTAAAATATTATTGTCTTTATTATCTTCTTAAATACGAATCCGTACGAATCAAGTCAAATTAAATTTGGTATCATTTACATGTCTTAAAAGCGGGGTTTTGGTAAAATATAAGAGTAAAATAAAACTATGAAGATCATAAACCCGTTAGGATTTCTAAAAATATCTCATAACAAAACTGTTTCTTATAATTTAAGGGGTGTTCAAACCCAAAACCCCTACGCCCCTGAAAATTATAAATTATTAGCAGTATTTTTTAATTTGGAAAAATTGTATTTTAAAGGATATTAAACAAAATTAAGAAAAATATAATAAAACTTTAACAAACTGTATCTCAGAGAAGACCAATATTTGGACATACCTAGATTCTTGGAACTTTTTAATAAAAATACCTTTCTACAAGTTCATGTGGAATATTTTAGCTAATAAGATACACATACTTTTTAAATGCTAAAATAGTAGGTACTTGACAGAAAATATGTTTGTAATTTAGTGCGACATCATAATGCAATTTATTTTAAATCAATTTTTTTATTAACCATTTTATAAATATTTTTACGAATTATTAGACAAAAAATAAGGAAAAAGTAAGAAAAAATCGTTTTCTCGTGGTCTTAAATTACTTAAGAGATCGTTTTTGATCAATATCGCGTATCCATCTATTTTTATATTTTATGTTTATTTCAAAATTACAATGATGTGACATTTCAATTTTCATGCGAATCGTGTGCGCAATCATTATATTATCGAACAGTCTATTCTTACGCTTGCGCGTAGCACGCTAACCAAAACTATGTAGCGGCAAACACGTAAAATAATGTAACAAAAAGGTTATTTTATTTGCAAACTTTTGTGTTTACGAAAAAATATTTTTCTTTACAATTATTATTATATTATATTGACGAAACGGTTAAAATATTTCCAGAAATTTTATTCAAAGTAAAAGTCATTTAATGGTTTGGTAATGGAAATATTTTTTAATACTTAATTTAACGAGACGCTGATACCTACTGTTTCAATCTTTAGATAAATTGATAAATTAAAAAGTAGTATGGTTTATTTTGTTAAATATTTATTGGTATAATTTAAAAATAGAAAGTTGACCATAATTATTTTAAATAGATAGAGAATTGATTTTCAATATAATAGTTTTACTGAACATTATTAATTTATTTTTTTAACAAATGGAAACCAAATTCGTCTAGAAACTTTCGGACTTTAAATTCTAATACCTTCGGCAGGTCCTAGTTTTTTATTTTCCCACATTTGAAAATAATTTCAACCAATTTTGTTGAATCTTAAAAACCGTGTACGGTAGATACGTACTTTTTTAATTAGGATTTCTTAAAAATCGTTAAATAGTACCTATGGAGATATTGAAGTGATATATCACACATTGTGTGTCAATATCTCGATAATTTTTTTATAAATATTTTTAATGTTTAACGCTTGTTTTTGAGACGAATTCATAGTCCAGGAAACAAAATGATATTCACTTTTTTTTGTTATCAGGCCGGCAGATTTATTATTTTGGTTTGCCGCATCGTTGAAATGGACAATGCGTATTTCAGGCGCCGCGATGCGCCGTTTCAGCGATTTTAGTAAACCAATATGTGACGAAGTAAAAGGACCAAATTCTTTCTGTCCAATCCCTTTACCTGAAATGTAACCACAAAAAACCTAATGCATATTGTGATTTCGTGCCTAAGAACAAAGTATTTCTGTAAATAAATAATTAAAAAGGGATTTACGTCCATCCCTTTCTTCTGGTATAATATTCTGTACATTCTTCCCTTTTAAATAAATATCATATTTTTATATGTTTTAATACGTTGTTTAATATAATGAAGAATGGTGCTGTGATAAGAACTAACCGAACAACTGAGCTAAGACTTAGTAGATCGCCTTCATCAAGTAAAAAAACTTTAAAAGATGTGCAACAGAATGGCGAATCAACAAGTGTTTTTTTGAAAAATGTCCAAACAAGTCCTATCAAAAGTTATATAAGGTATAAAATGCCAATTTCTATTAATTAACTCCACATTTAAAAATGAAGTGATTAGGTTTAATATAATCTTCGTGTTTACTAGCGTTTTCAATTAGCAGCAAATGATATGCTCAAGTAATTTAAACGCCCGGTCTATTTTTAATAATAAATAATACAATGTTTTATTTATGATTTTGATATACCTATTAAATTCATTTTAAAGATAAATTAGAATGTTCATCAATTAAATTGGCTCTCAATAAATAGATTTACGGTAGTAAATAAGTGGAAAATTTTCACTGGAAATAGTTCAAGTAAGTTTAAACACTTCTTTTTCGCATTGGAATTGAATTTAAACGGTGGTTAGAAAATAAGAAAACTTAAAGTTCTTTGCCAATCCGGCAATGAGTCACTCTTATTTTGTGTAATACAATTTTAATGCGGTCCAATAACTTTTTTACAATGGCAAGACGTAACGCCAAATAGAGCATAGAGCCTCTTTATTCTGCTTCACTTTTACTATAAATTGTTTATTAATTTAATGCGTCTTTATTTAAATTTAAAAATATTTGTTAAATCTACGATATACGTATATCCAATTTAATTAGGTTAAATTCCAATCTAATTATGTTAAATTCTTTAGAAAATGACCTTAGCCCGGCCATGTGAGATTGTTTTAAATATAAAAAAATGCTCAAAGACTCAAAGTCTAAAAAGCCATTAATATATTAATTAATTAATATATTTTCAGCACCTCCTGATAAACATAAAACTAAATAGTATAAATTTTGTTAAGTGTGTGTATTCGAATGAAAAGAAAGTAAAAACTTAACCGCCGTTGGTCATTATTTTTTGACGTTTCTAAAAATCAATAAAAAAATTCAAATTCATTCATGTGTGTATGTTTTATTCATATATTATATCACGAGAACTATGGTTTCTCTTGGAAAATGTTGAATGCAAAATAATTAAAGGAGTTTTATTTTTAATTATTTTGCATAAAACTATTTGCAAAAAGACAGATTAAATTTAAACTATAAATTTTATAGGTTGAGGGCCGGTTTATCAATCTCTATAGAGATTGATAAACTATAGTTAAGTTCCAGTTAGTCTATCTGACAGTTAAATTTCATATCGATCGTTGTGAAAAATGGTATCCATGGACATTATCTAACAAATAACTAACTGCAACTTTAACTGGACATTGATAAACCGACCCTGAGTGACATACGTCTAGATTATTTCTCGAATTAAAACTATTTGACAATTATATTTCGTAAACTAGATAACTTATTTTTTATTGTTTTTTAAAAAATGTATGTTAAAACTTAAAACCATAAAATCGTAAAGAAAAATCCAATATGGAGGCTAAAGTTTAATCGCTGTCAAACATTTCTATCTAAACAAAATTTATTCTCAATCAAACATTATTATAGTGGGAATAACCAATGAAATGCTAGTATTCCATAGTTATAATGATAAATGATATACCTATATTAATAAACATTATAAATTCCCTGCCTACCAACGGGAATAATGTACTAATTCACTTTGTTAGATATCAATGATTGGCCGATTTTAATATTCATTGTGATTTGAACCAATTGGGTTTTAAATGCGACTATAATAAAATTGTTAAAAAGTGAGGTTAATCATTTTACAGATGTCAGATTTTGTTTATCTATTTTTGAAAATCATTTAATTATCTACTTAAAAAAGTAATTAAAGTATAGGATTACACTTGAGATTATGCGCATTATTAACTCGGATGATTTGAGTCTATCGTCTGACGACTCGAGACGCAAACCTCATCTTCAACATATTGTGTTAACATTGAAACCCTGTGTTTGTTATATGGTTAAAATAATAAATTCTAAAACTTTAAAAGATCGGTGTAAACCATAAAACAATTACGGCCAGTTTGAATAAAAGATGATTATTTTCAAGGACAAAATTTTTTGAATCTTAAACTGGCAATTCGTTATAGGTATCCTAATTTATTATATTTTCTCGCCCAATATATCTTGTGGTATGATTAATAATTATAATATTACAATTATTAATTATAATCGATGATATTTACTCATTGAAACCGAAGCAGCACATTTCTGCAGCTTGGTTTCAATTCGAAAATATATCCTAACCATTTGAGTTTGATTTAAAAATGTTTGGCCAGAAGGTATATTGGTGAAAACCTCCTTAGGATTTGTTGATTAAATTTGTTACGATTCTTAAATGCGACAATTATTTTTCTTTTGGTAATTTTAATTATAAATTAAAAAAGCGTTTTGTTGGTCGGATTAAAAACAAAAATATTTATAAAACTGTAAGTTTAAATGTTTATATTTTTTCTTTTAGTAATGCAACTCGAACTAGACTGCTTCGATCGCGAGCCAGCACGCCAAGTTCGGTACCTGATTCGCCTCGCTCTCTCGATGGCCGAGCCACCAGCCGAACCCGGACGCTGGCGACCGGAAGTCCGGCCAAAACAAGGATCGGTCAATTGACGAGCGCGGCCGGATACGATTCGGACGATTCCGTGCGTCTGGATCGCGCCAATCACACGGCGATGAAACAGGACATCATCAGCATCAAGACCATGCTGCTTAAACTGAGGAGGGTGCTAAACGAGGTAAAATTTGTTAAATTTGATATATTCTTTTAAAATTAAGTTAAATATATTTTTCGTTAAATTTGTAGTACAATTTTGAATCAAAATTTTTGATACAATCCTACAGGTTCCATATATGGACCTATAGGTGATTTTAAAAATTAAACATTGATAACTTGATAGAGCCCTTGTTCTGCTATGAGGTTGCGTATATCATATCTGAGGGATGATTTTAGCTTGTAAATGTCTAATCATAGCTTTTTATGTTTACATTAAAACATGTTATACCAACTCTTTGTTAAACTTAGAATTTCTTAAAATAAAGTCCCTTATTATGAAACTATGTTAACTAAGTTAAAAATATAGTTTTTTTAAACATCTTATACTTTAAGAACACCTTTAATTAATTTGGTAAAAATTACTTTATTAATTCAACATATTTCAATAAATTTACTTTAACACTTAATAAACAATTCAGTTTGGTGAAAGTTAATGCGTTTGTTTTGCGGTTTCGTTTTGTGATGTAGGTATAATTTATGGATGTTTGGTTTTTTAATATAATATAAAGTAGTTATAAATAAAATATGACTTACTTGTCTAAAATCTTATTTTTATGTATTTTAAGTTTTTTAAAATGGGTTTTATTTAAGCTGTTCTATTTTTTATTACGATAAAACTCTAAAAGAATGTAAAACAGGATTTTTAATAGAAAAACTGTAAACTTTTATAGGGTTTATTTAAAATACCCATACAAGCAGATGTTTTATTGAAAATACGTTTTAGCTTCTTAAGAAGAATTTTAGGTACTATATATATTAATATTAAATTTAAACTCACTGGAACACTTATTATTATTATTATTATTATTATTAATGCACAACATTTTTAAACTATTTTACCAGCGTATTATGTATACCTAAAAATTAACTTGCACATTGCATTTAATATAAACATAAAATCACCGTGTTTTTTGCATGTTTTTATTTTACTTTTTTCATGTTTTTTTTGTTTTTCTAATTATATTTTTTTATTTTGTTTTTTTTGCATGGTGTGTATTTGTTCAGCAGACTGATGAAGAATTATTGTTGAGGGTAAGTTAATCCTTAAGTAGGTCTGCTAATTGGCTTACAAGTGTTTACTAAAATATTATTAAATACCAAAAGAAATATTATATTATTTATTTAGACTCAATTGACTGAAATAAATATGATTATTTTTCTAATATTATCCCAGTAAACACAATTACGTAAATATTACATAAATATGACGTCATGTCGCTTACGTAAGATATAGGCCACACTTGAGTCATACAAGAGTCATTATTTCACACTTCCTTACGTCAGACTCTGACGTAATAAATATGACATAAATATGACGTAAACATCTTGATGTAACACTGACATCATACCATTACATAATATTTACGTAATAAATGTGACATAAATATGACCTCAGAATGACGAAGCCCCCTTCCTTATTTTTTATCATGGGGCAAAATAAGTGAATACTGAAACAGCTCACTTGGCTGAAATCAGTTCCCTCTTCCAAATGAGTAAATTGTGGGTTCGCGGCTTTGGCCTTGCAAACATGCCCTGTGCACTCGCCTTAAACAAACAAAATCCACATTTTTGTCTAGTCGACTTTGGTTTTAGTTTACATTTGGGAAACATGTGGCAGGAGCGGCGGTTAATCTTGACGGTTGCTTGGTAACGAAATCAACAAACTTCAGGTTAATAAATTTTGTAAAGTTTTGTAAATTCATATTGTATTTTTCAATTATAACTATTTTATTAAAACAAGGTACTTACACAAATGTGGTACATAATATTATTACTTTATACTGATTTGTGTTCTTTAATAAGATAAAATTCACTTGAATACATTATTATATTGTTAAACAATTTAAATAACTGCTGCCTTTTATTTTTTACTATTTTGTCTGTCAAAATTTGACAGGATAACCTGAATTAAAACCATACATAAAACCAATAAATGTCAGGCGGGTACACTAGCGGCATAGCGGGCCGAGTGTGCGTAACAAGGAGCGTCAAATATGTGACAGTGGCGTATCTATATGATTTATTATCTATGCTTGCAAAGCAGGCACTGTTTAAGCAGAGGGCCACGGAAATTCCATGAGTATCCTGACGGAACAATCCTAGCTCCAACAAATAATTTCAGTGAAAAAGCTAAATTTTATCGTGGGCCACAATTCGTGACTCGTTTATTTGCCGAAGTTCGGATTCCCAAATCTCAAATTGCAATGCAGTGTCAACTTATATACTTAACGAATAGTGCCACATAAGCGAGATGTATTATGCAATAATGGTTAATAAATGCAATTACGTTATGTTTGCTGGTAAAAGAGTAAGACGTCCTTCTATTAAACTAAATAATATTCCCTTAAGAGGTTTACAATCGGTTAAATATCTTGGTGTAATCTTAGATCAAAAACTGAATTATCAAGAACATATAAAGACAGTTTGTTTAAAAGCTAAAGGACTTTTCTCAACTTTAAGAAGACATTTATCCCGCATATGGGCTCCCCCTTGGCAAGCCCTTCAGACTATTTATTCTATGGCTGTTGTTCCTATTACTGGTTATGCTTTCGAAGTTTGGAAAAATCATATTCATTATAGAAGATCTGAAAGATATTTGAACTCTTGTAGAGCTCTATGTGCTAGAACTATTAGTGGTTGTTATAAGGATGTATCCTATGAAGCTGCCAGCGTTATAGCTAATATTATGCCAATTGATATTGAAATTTCCAAAAGACATGCCCTTTCCAATATCAAAAGATGCAAACCTGCCGAACATCTGGGAACATTTTGGACTGATAACTTTCCAAAAATTTCAATAGCTAAAGAACTATTGCAGAATTTGAGTTTAAATAAATGGCAAATTTTATGGGATTCATACCCTAATGGTAGACTTACTTACCAATTTATCCCTTCTGTAATTGAAAGACAATATATGAGTACCTTAGATGCAAAACTCGGTTTTTGCAAATTAAAAAATAAAATAAAATTGACTTTAAATTCCGTTTAGTGTTCGTCCTAGATAAATGGCGTTCATAAAACTTGATACATAATAATATTATATTATATATATTATTATGTATCAAGTTTTATAAACGCCATTTATCTAGGACGAACACCAAACAGAATTTAAAGCCAATTTATTTATTTTTTTAAATTTGCAAAAACCGAGTTTTGCATCTAATGTACTCATATGAACATAACCCATAATAAAGCTTTATCATCAATTTTATCTGGTCATGGAAGATATAGAAGACATTTTCATAAAGTCGGAAGATTGGAGAACCCTTTTTGCCCCCATTGTCATTCCACTGATGATTCTTTACATAGAATTTCTGCTTGTCCATTATACGATGAACCTCGTCAAATTTTGATTGATTGTACCCCTTATTGGCCTATTTCACCTTCTAATCTTTTAAAATTTTTGATTGATAACAACAAAACAGACTTATTGACACCATTTTCCATTTGCGAAGATTTACCTTTTCATTAATTACTCTTTAACTATACATTTATTGTAAAACTGATTGCATTTGCCTTTCTGGAGAGTGATTTCTTTTCTTTATACAGTAATATTATTATTACTATTTCTTTATAAATAATATAATTTTTTGAAAATACTTTTACATTCATCTATAATCTGAGATTATATTATTAATAGATGAATTTCTGATTTATTAAAATCAACTTTATTTTTAGATTATTTTATATTAAATTTTTTTGTAATATCTTGATAAAGCAAAAATGTTAATTAAATCTAATTTTTATTTTTTTTTCTTAAATTCTTACAAGGGTTGTAGGTACCTTGTAACACATATGTGTATCTTTTTGAGTAGAGTTTCTCATTTGTTTTTAATGCAATAATGGTTGCCCATGATAAGTAGATTTCTACTATATTATAGTAGATGCATACTTGTCATAGGCAACCCTTACTGCAACTGTTAACAATTAATATATCAATGTTATTTGACAACTTTACCCTTATTTGTCTGAAACACAATAACTGGACCATATTATAATATTATTATAAAATTTGTTTATCAATGAAAAATTCTTTAATAGTTTACATATATTTTTAAAAATCCCTTGGTTTCTTAATACTAAATATTCTCAGTGTACTTAAATAATTTCGTTTGTCAATTTCATTTTTTTTATTTATCATTTTTTAAATTTAAAAAATATACTAATACCCACAATATTGTGCAAATTATTATTATATTATTTTTACTATAGGTATTATATTAATATATAATTATACCATATTATATTATAATACTAAATTCTTTAAATTTGGTTGTATTATTTATTATAGTTTTATTTTTTGAACCTCTGTATTTGGAAATTGAAATTTTAGTATGTTAAACAAGGCATTAAATATATAGGTACTACCAGAGACAAGGGTACTCTGGGTACTACTTTTTGACTTAAACCAATTTCTAAAATGGCGTCGTACTGTCAAAAGGTCACATTTTTTTCAATGGGAAATGGAATCATTATCGAAAAGGTATTTATTGCAAGCTGATACTTTATCTAATTTATGAAGCTGATCAAAACCAACTCACAATGGATTTTGAACCAACTACTAATTTTTCAGATTCTTTACAGGGGTATGTCAGAAATAAGAACAATAAAAATCGCTTTTTATGAGTAGCTATAGCTATAGGTAAAATTTTTTGACATGCATGGATTAAATAAAAAACAAATGACGTCGTACAGCCAAGGTCACATTTTTTTGAAGTGAGTGAAATATCATTTCAGGTCTTTTAAAGCGTAACTAGTTATTTTTTCGATTGTACAGGGTGGGACAAAAAAAATCCACTTTCACCAAAAGCGCCATTTTCAAAAAATTTCAAAAAATAATAACAGTAACATACAATACAAAAATAACACGTTAACACGTAATAACACGTAAATCTTTTGTTGATAATTTTTTACAATTTAAAAAATAAGTAGGTACTTGCAAGTACTTGCAACCATGACTATGAGTACCTACATGATTTTTCACATGACCTTTGAATAAAATGTGTACTTTTGAAAGTACGGCGCTATTTTCAAAATTTTTTACGTCATAAAACAGTAGGAACCGGAATCATAAAAATCTATATGATGTTTATTACATATTAAATTAAGATACATTATTTTTTGATTAATTTTAAAACATATTTTCATTTAATCGACCAAGTACTATAGCCAAAAAATTCAAGGAACTTCGCGTTATTTCTTTTATCATGCAAGATGCAAAAGTAATTTCAAAATATGAAATTTGCTGTATTTTAATGTTTGAATTAAACTGATTGGTAAGAAAAAGTATCCACTGATTTTATTGTTTAAAATAATCAGCGTCAATTTCAATTAATAGAATTTACTTACGTTATTTTACTCAATGATTGGAATTAACCATTTCAATCAATAAAAAATAAAAATTATGTTTGCCTATTTCATTCATTGAAAATAAAAGTCCATTCATTGAAATTAGTTAAATTAAAACATTAAAATACAGTGAATTTCATACTTTGAAATTACTTTTGCATCTAGTTCGTCTAAATAATATGTATGACAGATTTCTTATGTCAGTCTTACCTTACAAAGTGACCTTAAACTTATGTAATGGTATGACAGATTTCTTACGTCAGTCTTACGTAAGAAAGTGACCTAAAACGTTTGTAATAGTATGACGTATTTCTTACGTCAGCCTTACGTAAGAAAGTGACCTTAAACTTAGGTAATATTATTACAGATTTATTACGTTAGTCTTACGTAAGACAGTGACCTAAAACTTATGTAATATTATGACAGATTTCTTATGTCAGTCTTACGTAAGAAAAGTGACTTTAATGTTACGTCACGATATGACTTTAATATTACATAAGATGTACGTAATATGTAAGTCATTTAATTACATCATATAAAAGTCACGTTTTGGGTCAGTATTGTGTCACTATGACGTAAATTGTATTACCTAGATATGATCTACGTGTTACGTAAATTTTAGGTCATAAGTCACGGTTTGGTTCACTGGGATAATGCCGTACAAAATGTCTAAACGGACACGTTAATAAAATTCAATACAATACAATTAAAAAATGCTTTTAACTTGTGTTGCAGTTAAAATTCATTTACTCATTTTTGTAACGTTTAGTATCTGTTTTTTTTTCTAGTCTGATACTCACAACCCATTTGAAAGTCAGGCAATTTTGACGAATGGGCTCTTCAACAGCGGTCTCAATTCCTTGACGACCAGCGATTCGACAACCCCGAGTAACTGTCACGACGATAACGAAGAAGCTCGAGTGGAGCTGGCCGAGCTACGTCGACAGGTTCTTTTTCTGCAAGGGCAGCTGGAGGACAAAGACAAGACTGTGCTGGAGCTGCAGGATCGCATGATCAAGTTGGCCAATGATAATTACCACGCCAATTCTGCGCCGGCGTCTACCGTATCCACGGATAGCGGAACTTGTAACGCCGCTACGCAAACTGAAAGGGTATGTAAAATAGGAAAGGACTTTTAATATTGTTTAAATTATAACGTATTCTTAAATCGTGAGTGCAAAGAATATAAAATTTATGCTAAGAAGTGTACGTTCATTTTTAATTGGATTTAAATTTAAGTTTTACTAGAAAAATCACCATGAATTTTTTTAGATTTATAAAGAAATATTTAACATTTTTTTACAAGGAAAAGGCGTAAAGTTTAAGCCTGTTATTTTAAATACAGGGATTTTAAAAAATCTAAATAGCAATATAATCTTTTATAAATAACATTATTTAACTATTTAACCCCCATTGCACTAAAAAAAAGTTTAAAGGGTGTTTTTAAACCAAAATATATAAATTGTATCGTTTTTTTTGTTTTTTAGCGGTATACTAAAGTAAAAAAAAATGGCTGAAATATGGCGAGACTTGTAGTATATTGCCCTTTTGATAGCCAACAATACCTGTATCAATAAGTTACAATACATAAAAATACATAAAAAATGTAAAACATATTATTAAACATAGTATTGTTGGTTATTAAAAAAATCAATATTTACTGCGTTTCAATATGTTTTATCAATTTTTTCCTACTTTAATACACCTTAAAAAATAAACAACTAAAAATTTTTGTATATTTTGCTTTAAAAACACCCTTTAAAATTATTTTTTTTTAGTGCAAGTTTTCTAGTAAAAACACTCATAATTTCACTTCACCCTTAAAAAAAATACATTACATGACACTCTAATGTACAATACACTATTATTCCAAATTAGTGGGTAAACTTTTTATTTACCCATCTAGTTTGTTATTTTTATAAAGATTTATCATATACACATAATCGCGTTTAATGGTAATCATTATAACCGCCCCGACTGACAACGGGAATAATGAACTCATTATTCACGTTGTCATGCATCAGTGATTTGACGATTTAAATGTTTACTGTGATTTGAATCAATCAGGTTTTAAATTGGGAAAAAGTGAGGTTGAAACAGATATCAGATATTTTTATATATACGAGGGGCGACTATAATAATTAATAAAACAGAAAATGAACAGATAATAAATTTTGTTTTTAAAGAAAATTACTTCATTGTAGAAGAACTCTCCCGTTTAATAATATACTATTATCTTTAAGCGGTCTATAAATTCGCAAAATTTCAGAAGTTATTTAATTTTTAAGGCCGCCAGCGCGCTGCAGCGCAGTGTTTCTGCTTTATAGGGAGAGCCCCGCCTTTTAACAATTTTTTTTTGTTTACTTTTTCCCAATGATAGAATATTAGCTTTTTTGCAAACACAAAATATATAACAAGAAACACTGCACTCTCATTGGTGACTTTAAAAATGAAATAACTCCTGCATTTTTGCGAATTCGAAAAAAGTGGTAATGGTAAAAGGAAATATAGTCTTAGATTTTCACAAGTAACCCCTTTCGTTTTGTCCAGGTACCCTGCATATAATACATAATAATTTTTATACATTGACTTATTTATTCATTTTTTTAATATTTAATTTTATAGTAATATTTTAGATTATTTACCCTTACGGTAATATAATATAATATGTAATTAAATGAATATTCCTTTGCTTAAAAGTTTGTTTTAGTTTTATTGTAACAATTACATGAAATCGTTAAATTGGAGATTTATATAGAGATTTTTTTTCGTTTTATTTTCTAGATTCGTTTGGAGTCCAAACTTTGAACCAATCATAAAATTTGATTCCTGTCGGACCAATCTAACCTCAATTTCTACTTTAATAATTTTACGTTTCATATATCATTTAACAAATAAAATTGTTCCTTGAAGATAAAATGTTGTATGCAATTCGGCCAAGAAAGTCTTTTCGTGCTTCGTTCAATCGTTCAAACTTTAAGCTCAGCACAAAACACTCACTTTTTGGCCTAATGGCACGTTGTAAACACTTGACAATAAAGCGATTGATTTCACATTAAAATATTTTTGACGAATCAGGAAGTTACAACCTACTTTTAGTAATTTATTATTTACTATCTAACCTTACTTTCTACTTTTAATAATTGCACGTTTCATTTATCGTTTGACAAAATTGTGACTTAATTTATAGCCATGTTAAGAAGTGTTGTATGTAATTCAGCCAATAATGTCTTTTTGTGCTTCGCTCATTTGAAGGCATGCGCTACGCGTCGGCCTTTACAGCACAGCACAAGAAGGCCTTATGGCATTAATAACTATTAAACGCTATAAAACATAAGATATTTCTTTTTATGCTTTGGTGTTAAATTATTAATAGGCATTCATTAGAACATAATGGAATTTTTAAATGCAATTTGTGAATAAAATCATCATTATTGAAAAAAAATGGTTTAACTATGCAAAACAAGCTCTAATCTCGCTAGTTAGCGATTTATGCATTTTTCAAATTAAATTTCTTAATAAGCATGCAAACAAAATAGGCTCTCTTTAAATTGCCGATGCGTTATTAAAACGCAAAATTTAAATTACGTAGTACGCTGATTAAACTTGTATGATTAATAATTAAGCAAATTTATGCATTTTTTAGATCCGACCTATTTCTGCAGGACCTTCTCTACTAAACGGTTCAGATGGTAACAACGGATCGCTTGTTAGGTAAATTATGAAAAATTTAATATCCATACACTAATAGTTTTTATACATATTTATGTAGGTATAATAACCCATTATAATTATATATAAGGTCTTCCATAATTGACTTTTGGTTTAAATATGACTATTGGAGCATTTACAGCATATTCATGGCTCTGATTTGGCAAACTTATTATGGAAATGATCGGTCTAGTAAACCAATATAATTCTTGCATTTATGATTTTTTTATCAACTTTCAATCGTCCTATTAAAGAAGCAATTAGATTTTTAGTAAAGAACCAGTACGCGGGTTGTTATTGGTTATGGGCAACACTAGTGCTGCTGCGTGAAATTGGATATATGCGTCTAAAGTTCATATTTTTTTTGCATAAAAATACTTTAAAACGTTTTAAGCGCTATTTGTGTATGTATAACAGTGCCATAAAAAAATCATCTTGGCTAAAATTTACAATATCTTAAGTGTAATTATTTTTTACAATCATCGACGTGGATTATCTCAACAATAGTTCATCGATAAGCTTTAATTTTTTATATGGCGATGAAGCCCCATCCCAAGATACGGTATATCCGTGGTTTTGAAGATTTAATCATGGCCGTAGTTTATTGAAAGGCGAATTTTGTGAAGGTCTTCCAAAATCCGTTGTTTTCCTAGGAAACATTGATGCTTTGTGGGAACTAATATTGAAAGATCGTCATGTCCCTTATCGCGAGATTGAGTCATCCTTGGGTATTCGTATGAAGAACATGATATTCACTGAAAAAAAGAATAAATATTTAAAAAATACCATCTCGGGGCACCTAAACCTGTCTACAACATCTACACAGGTGACAAATCTTAGATCTATGAATATAAACCCGATTGCAAACAGCAGTCGACAGTATGAATCTTTCAAGATGAAGTGGAAAAAGTGCTAAGAATTAAACGTTTAAGCCGTATAAAAATCTTTATTAATCTTCATAAAGAATGTTTATTTTTTTATATTAAAATCGACCATTTTCATAATAAAGTACATTTTAGACCAGGCATTTAATCCCTTCTAATTTATTATTAAATCCTCAGTTTATAATAAAAACATCGCATCAAAATGTAAAATTCACCCGACAGGAAATTTGATTTTAATTTTTGATCCTTAAAAATAAACACATACACAGTCTGTGCATTATAAGTTGGCGAAGCAAAGGAATGTTCATGCACTTTAGATAAATAATATTAAAAAACTTACCTACTCAGTTATGTTTTTTATTATTATTATTTATAAGCACACAACATGACAATTGTTTAATAACTAAATAACTTAATTCATTCGGTCCGCCAACTTATCGTGGACAGACAGTAATTAACAAAGTGTTTCAATATAAACCAAATATTGTAATACGGCATGAAATGTATTAATTTAAAATATTAAATTATTATTATAAAAAAGTGCCTGGGACCTGTTTCGGCCGATTATCAAAATTTGATAATATAAAAATTATTAAACGCTTGAAAAACAAAATTTTTAATACGAAATTTTACCTAAAACAAATTTTACACCTTGTCACCATTAAAAAATCTTAATGCCAATTATGAAATACCATTAAATTTAATATTATAAATTTATGAAATACGTAATAATTAATTTTAATAAATTTTCTTATTGCTGCTCACATTGGATAGCTTCAGGATTGGGAAGGTAGTTTTAGCTGACGTACTTTTAGGTGTTATTTTACTGTGTGCTATTAACCTTTTGTGCCTTTTAAATCTCCTTTACACTTGTACTTCATGTTTTATCAATATGGCTGATCAAGACAACTTTTAACTTTACAACTTACCTACCTATAAAAATAATAATAAAATAGTTGCATTTTGCTCATAACCATAAATATATAAATTACCTACATATAAATACCTATTTACATTCGTTCCTGGATTTTAAGTTTGTGGTGCTAATTATTTCAACTATTAAATTTGTGATAGTATTGTTCCTTATAGTATAGTATAGACTATTTATACAAACTGGTTAAAATATTTTATATTTTAAATATTCGACAATTAAAAATGACCCCACATTAACAGTATAAGAAACAAAAGTGACAATGTATCCAATTTATATTGTTTATTATTTAATTACTTGTTTTAATAATATCGATTATAATAAATGTAGTTTAAAATCGAAAAAACTTTATTATTTTGTACTTGTAATAGTAATTTTTCTGTTGCATGCTGCTCAATAGCAATTTCGGGTAAGATATGTAGATGTTTGTCAATTTTGTTTACTTTTATATTTTTGGCTTCTATGGTTAAATTACTATTATTTTTTGTATATAATCATTTTTTTACATCTGATATTTTTGCATTCATGCATGACAAACCCAATCCTCATCACAATTTAAATACAAATCTCTTTTTAAATACAAATATCATTAAAAAAAGTTTTATAAACTTAAAAATAAATGCATTTTATATACTACAAATTCTATTGTTTTTTAATAATTTCAGGAAAAACAATATTTAAATGCCAATAATCAATAATATTCCGCGTCGAATGTTATGAATATAGATGGCAGATGCTCGAGCGCTTTGCAAAGCGCTAATAAGTGCTCATAAGCGCTAATAAATGCTCATAAATGCTCGAGCATTTATAAACTATGAAATAAAAAATGTATAAAAAAATTATTGAAAAAAAAATTCCAATGAAATAGAGGTAAGTAAACCATTTTGGAATTGGATAAACCTACACCACTTGCACATGTTCTGATGTAAACGTGCACATGTTCTGATGTAAACATTGTTTACATCAGAACATGTGCAAGTGGTGTAGGTTTATCCAATTCCAAAATGGTTTACTTACCTCTATTTCGTTGGAATTTTTTTTCAATAATTTTTTTTATAATTTTTTTACTAAACAATAGTTATTTGTTGGTTAATTTATAACCCCGCTTTTTAGTTTTGGCGTCAAACTGAAATATCGAGCACTTTGGTAAATGCTCGAGCATTTATGAGGACTTATGAGCGCTTTTGAAAGTGCTTATCCTCTAGTTATGAACATTTTATGTTCATTTAAAGTGGAAAAAGTAGACGAAAATCCCAAACAGCCTGTCTAACATTTTGGAAAACTATTAATGGCTCCTTATAGAATACTCCTTATTTAACGTGTATACCAAAAATAAACTTTTCGACATTACAATTATTGTTGATAATACAGACATTTTAGTCACTTCATCAAAAATTGAATATCCCAAAAATAATTAAGGTTAGGATAACGATTTAAAATGAAATAGCCTTAGCAATTATTATAGAGGATGATAGTTCACGCCAAGCAAAGCGATTTTTCCTCTATTACTTTTGCATTAGTGTTACTGTTTTTAAATACAAAAAATTATGAAAATCAACGTTATTCTTGGTGGGCCCTCATAAATTTAAGTTGGCTGCTATTAACAGGAACTTGTTATTGTTCAAAGTAACTTAAAAGGATTAAAACAATCAGAAACGGAAAGTAACAGAATAGCAACGAAACTTAAGGTAACAAAACTAGCAAAACTCTAAGCAGAACTGAAACACCGGGTATGAAAAAGAAACCAGCAACGCCACCGGAGTATCAAAATTGTAAACTAACCGCATGAAATAAAAAGAACACTATTACCTTGTAACGTTTTCTGTGGATTAATAAATGAAGCAGGGCACTTATAAAATACCCTTATAATTTTGTAAATATTGGTATATTGTGCGACTGCGAATGTTTTTAAAAATTCACTGTTTGGTTACAATTATTTTCCGGGCCCTAAAGCGATTGGGGTCGACGACTAGTTGTTTAACTGTGCCACAGTTACTGTGGTTCTTATCGGTACTGCTGTAGATGATTATACTGGTCCGACTATCGTTAATTTTTCTGACTTTTGTAGAACGTAAAATAAATAAAGTAAAATAATGAATTTAAATACGTTTTTTGTAAATATTTTGGAAGGATTGGCACAAAAATTATGCAAATTTTCAATGCAAACTTTGTGCGTAAATTTGAACACCGTCTTGAACAAATTTTGTGTCAAAATCGAGGTTTTATATTGGTTTGCATTTTGTCAATATAAATCAAGAAACTGCAAGCACTTTGTTGTTAATTAATAGTTGTTATGCAGTGTTGTCGGATTGTATTTTGAATGAAAAACTATAAAATGGGAACACAACATAAAATAATATTTAATAAAATCTTACTAAAAACATTAAATATTAATAAATTTTATGTCAAATTTATATAATATTATACAGGGTATCCCAGAACTCGCGCCACAGAGAAAAGGGGACGTGTCGAAAGTTATGCGAAACACATAATTAAAAATTAAAATTATCTACCGCAAAGGATAAGCGGAATCAGAATAAAAAACGATGGCCATAGGCACAATCCACACAACAAGGTCTGTTCGATCTCGTAGTAAAAATACTAAAAATCACTGCAACACTGCACATCATACGATGGCGGCCATTTTTGTTGTTTACAATTCTTGTGCTTTGGGTTTGTACAGATTAATAATCGTTTTAAACGTTGTGTTTTTACAGAGAGACTTGCAAGCCTTAAAAGAGACCACAAAGTGGTAAGAACAATCATTTTACTCCTCTTTTGTAAAAAAAATAAACCTTATGTCAATTTGAAGGTTAATTTGTGGGTTATAAAATAACCTTAAATTAACCTTCAAATCGACATTTGACAGCCCTGATAGAGGCTGTGTTCCGTAATTTACTGCCATTACTGTCACTAATTTTACTGTCAGTAGCGGAAAAGGACCGTTCCGTAATTTATTCAGTACTGACGCACAGTGAAATTGGAACGCGCCTCAGTAGCAGCAGAAAGTGACAATGGTTACGCAAGGTTATGATTTGTGATTTACTGACAATTGACAAACTTTACTTTCCGCACAGCAGAGAACATAAATAAAAAATAAATATAACAGTTATAAGAAATATAATGTTTGATTTATGGCAGAGAAATATGGAAAATTTAATTTTATCGTCGTCCGTGTCGAAAAATGTATATAGGAATAAGAAATATAAAATTTCACTGACACCACAACAATAAGCCAAATACCAAAAATTACTCTTAAATTCGTCCGCTGAATACAAATATATAACATTTTCCAGGTACTACCTAGTAGGTAGTTTCATATTCTGGGTCTTCGAATGCGTACTCCCCGGCGACCTGCCTTCGTCACTGCTGCTTGTACTTTCAAGTAATATTTTATCAATAAATATTAAAATAATTAGTCCTATAGGTATTCCCCAAATACCATTATATAATTTATATCCTTCACTTTATTTGACAGCTATTTTTTTGTTTGGTTATGTGTTTTACTGGAGCCACAGCACCTCTCTGTCACCAGTTGTTTCAGTAAAATTAATCTGCCTTAATCTTAAAAGGGTAGTATTTGCAACTGAGCTCAGTAACTGAAAGTGGATTTCGGAATGCGTTTTCAGTACTGACAGTACTGACAGTAAATTACGGAACACAACCACAGTCGGACAACAGATTTTTTAAAGTTTTAAGACAACAATGTTCTATCGTCTCCTAGCAATTTTTAAAGCTCTTACGTTTAACCTAGGCGACGGCTCTCGGTATTGGCTGCAGTTTTTATTTTTAAATTTCACATCTTCATTGCTACCAGCACACGCCCCCTTTTTCTCTGTGGCGCGAGTACTGGGACACCCTGTTTGATAAAAATATTTTAAAATCTTAAATTATTCCAATTTTAATTTTATTATTTTATCATAATGCGTCATTATAATTTTATGTATGTTGGTACGCAAAGAATCTAAATGCTGCCTTATAATTTGTGTTCTACTATACTGGAAGTCTAAATGCATTGAATTGTTAACTAATTTTTTGTAGTGTGACTGAATCTCGTCGCTCCCGTCCTCCCATCCAAAGCGACTCACCGGCAGCGAAGCGAACGCCATCCAGGCTTTGGCGGAAACCCGGTGAACCGCCGTCACCGCAGCGCTACGCATCAAACCCATCATCCGCATCGTCTACGTCATCCATACCCAGGCGAGCCAATAGTCGAACTAGGGCGCCTTCCACCATTACGTGATATCTATTTATTAAATTGATTCGTTTTATTTCTAGAGAATTAAAGCGGGCTTTTAAGGAAGTACTCGAATGACAACTGCACTTTAAACATCTATGATTAGAGTCTGTTTTGAGTATTTATGGTTTGGACCTCTGCTTTATAAAATATAAAGAGTTAAATATTGTATTTCATACTGTTGGTGTTTTCAATTCAATTAATTAAGAAATATATTATACTTACAAAGTAACAAATTCAATTTTTTTTTACAAATTTACATCTTTTTTGTGCCTTAAAATATTCACTTAATAGAAAATATTAATTTTTCATCTTTAGTAGGCCCCTTGTAAATGTCGCTCCAAGTAACCCTACTTAGAATAAATATTTTGAAAAACATTGACAAAGTTGGACAGTAACTAAATTTTTAGCGTCTCTTAATGTATTTTTTTAATCGTAACCTACACCTAAAAAATTTACATTTTCAAATCGCAATTTAAATGCAAATATCTCGGAAACGGTTGCTCCCAGCGAAATTTAGAAAGTATACCTTTTTTACTAAAAACAGATAAAAAGTAATATTTTTATTTAAAATGCAACAACGTTGTCACCTGATAGCGCCCTTTACAACCTAAATAAATTTTTTAAGAAATTTATTTTCCCCGGTCTAAAAAAATCGAAAAATTAAATTTTGGACAAAACATTTTTTTTTTAAGTTATTTAATTACCTAAATCGAAAACGAACTTTACTCTGGACACACATTTCACTTACCTTAATATTATAATTGAAACTTGTTATTTTAAAAAATGTTGGGAAAATAACATGTATTGTTTGGTAATTGCATTAGACGTAATCATGGAATAAGTTAAATTTGTGTCAAGAGTAAAAGTTGCAGGATGCAGATCAAAAAATGTTCTTTAAAAATTACAACGCAGAAGTTACACACATACATATTCTAAAAATCTACTTAAAACACAAAGGTACTAGTTTAATAAATATGGTTGGTTGACAATAATAATTAGTATCCAAAAATACTGTACTTTCTTAAAAGCCTGCATTTTGTAAATAGATAATTTTTTATTAAGGGTAATACTTTTGACTGTGATTTATGTTATGGTTAACTTTCGTAAAATTTTGCATTAAATATACTGTGAAATATTAATGTAAATTTTACGTTTTCGATGTGTATATTTTTTTTTATTGAGGTAATGCGTACAATAGAAATTAATATATTACCTATTTATTTATTAAATTGTGCAATACATTGCTCCTTCCTAAGTATTACTAGTGTAAATTAGGTTGACTTATTTATGGAAACTGTATTAAAAGACAAATACAATTACCTGGTAGTTTTATTTTCTTAAAACCAATGATTGCACATCAAACTAAAAACGTACAAAGTAAACTTGAGTTGTACTAAAGGTTTTCTGATGCAACCACTCCTTGTATGTTTTATTGCAGTGTAAAGTGTTTATTATGAATCTAGTTGATCCACCCAAAGCAATAAATCTAATGGACATTGGGTAAATGCTATTAATTAGTTAAATTATTAAACAATATATACATTAGGGTGGTCCTTATTTTTTAAATTATGAATTTCAATTGTCTCACCCTCTTATTTTTTTCCTTTTAATCATATATAAATCCCTGTTAAATTTTACACTGATCTAATGTTGTTAACCCGTGCCTCATGAGGCATGCATGTAGGGCATGTAGGTCAAAAGTTGCCAATAGTGAATAATATACTATAAACAGTTTTTGTGCCACCGCAAAATAATTTGTAAGTGTAAAATAGTACATTATAGACCAGGCGGAGAAAGCACATATTATCGCCTAGCATTCGTTTCACTGCCGAGGCGTCAGCCGAGGCAGTATATTTTGTGCGAGGCAATTAATAAGCTTTCGCTGACGAGTTTTATACATTGTTTTTTACAAGCATTTAGTTAAAGAAATTCTTAATATTTTGTCACATCATTTTAAACTTGGTTTAATAATTAGTATGTGTTGTCGAACCTACCGAAATTTCGGTATTTCTACCGAAATCGCAACGGACCTACCGAAATACCGAATAAAATGAATATTTACCGATTTTTGGCAATAATATCACATTTGATACTGGCAACTATGGACACAGCTTTAGTTCAAAAAATTAAATATTTAATGGATTATTTTTTAAAACTATTAAAGACAATTTCTGAATTTATTAAGTCTATCACTCCTATTATGATTACAACAATGAAGGTTTTGGGTGGAATTGCAACCAGCATAATATACTCTATAACACTTATATACTTACTTCTTGACTTAAATTGATTCAGGGTTATTTCTTATAAAACAGACAGTAACAATAAAGCGATCCCAGAGAGCCATATCAGGTTAAAACATGGCCAAGAATTGCCCATTACCTTTCGAAAAGTCTTGCCAATAAATGTACTATGTAGGACTGTATATTCCTATGGTATTTGTGCAATCGCGATGGCCAACAATAAATGACCAAATTGTGCCCAATAATATGCCAAAGCAGTTTGGATAAATTAGGTAGGTTACCGTTGGTTTAATTTTGGAAATGTTTGGGCATGGAAAAACGATGAAAAATTTTTGATGTTTATTTGGGCAATTAGGCTTTTGAAAAATTGACCAAATATTGGTAAATATTTGGACAAATCCAAAGTATTAACAAATATTATTATTATATTTGAAAGAATATTACTCTTTTTCTCATTTATATTAAAATCTATTAATCTATCTACTAATTTTTTGGGGAGTATTTGAAAATTGGGTAAATAAAACGCTTTTTATAAAACAAATAAAAAATTTTGTATTTATATTTTTTAATTATAATAAAAAAATAAAACAGTATATTCCAATACTGGAACAGTGGTCAAAAATAAAATTAAAAAAAAAAAAAAACAAATTTATAAATAAAAAATATTTAAAATAATCATAATTGGAAAAAAATATTGTTTTTTTATGTTGAATCCCAAGCAGTGATTTAATTGTTTTTTTGCAATAAGGCTTTTTTTGATTTCGGACCCGTTGCTTCGCGTTGTTTAAGGCCACGTCAAAGGACCTCTGGAATTCTAAATCCCCTGGAGGAGGAAATTTATCATGTTCATGTAAACTCTCTAAAAAATACTTTAAGTAACAAAATTGTCTAGGAAATAATATTAAAATATAAAACATACGGTGAATGGCTTGTACGATTTTTGTCATAGAAAAAGGATATATTTTTGTTTTGGACACCCCAACACCAGCACGTCCAGTGCGCGTTATTTTGGAAGAAACTTCAAAATTAATAAGGGAATAAAATCTTCGAGAAGTAAGAAATTGTATAATAATTGAATGTTTTATTAAAAACTTTGAAAACATAACCTTAATTACTTACTCAAAATTTAAAACTTAACACGTTTAGTTAGTGCACAGATGATTATATTTTTTTGTAATAACTGTCACACAAGCACTTTTTGACGCCTTTTTGTAGAGAAGGTCTTGAAATATTAACGACATATAACTCGCCATTGCGATTCTTTTTCCATGCTGATCAATTATTTGCCAAGTTTCGATTAATCTGAATTACAAACGCTTTGCCAATTTTCGACCAATCTTCATTACAAACGACGTTGGCCAATAACTCTATCTGTACTGGACTGTATAATATACAGTGTATATTTGTGTAGTTTTTGTGCTATCGCATTGGAAAATAATTTGGCATAAAACATGTTAATTTTTGGTCAAACTTTATGAAAATACAATTAATATTTCCAAATAAACCCCAATAAATGTAAAATATCGTAGTCCAAACTTAGTTGGGAAAAAGTTGACTAATTTCTTTCCCAAAGCATGGCTCTCTGGGTATTTAGCCTTTTTTATTATTGTTTTTATTTTTTTTGTTAAATACAAAACACGGCAACGCGTTGCAACGGTGGAATTTAGTCTTAATAATTTATACCGATTTTGCGCAGTAATCTACGCTACTTTCTCCCGATTTAGCATTTTGACGTTCAACAACACTGCTTGTGTAGGCTCCACCCAAGCTGTCCCCAATTTAATTGATTTTACAGTTCTCATTACTAAACAGCCCAGTAAGCACCAAACACTCTGCAAACAGCCGGCCTTCGCCCGCGTTATGTTACCCCGGTACCGTTTAGCCATCTTCTAACCTAAGTCGGCCAGAATACGGCATGCCACTGCAAAATCCTTCGGCTTGGCCTAGCCGGCCCGCTTACGGCTGGAATACGGCCTGCCGCGGCATTTAGCTTTGAGATGTATCGCTTATAAGCGATACATCTCACGGCTGCTTACGCACGCGAGCTAACTATAAATAGCGATTGGTTGCAATATTTAGCTGGAAGTGTGCGTCCGTAATGGCATAGCTGAACATTAATTGTTTGGAGTCCCCATCTCCATCCTGATCTGCTTAGTAACGAATAATGTCTAGCTAGTCGAGTGTGTTAAAAAAGTATCTTGCCATTCAGAGAATTTCAGGACTGAACTTATAGGATATACCTCTCCAGGACGTCTCACACTGCAGTGTGGACCATGGTCCGAATCGACTTATTCTCTGGCCAAAACTCGAAAAGTGAATGTAATAATGTGAAAATTTGTATTTTAGGGTTATTGGGGTCGCTGATTACGAAATTGATATCAAAATTATTAAATTCAAAATGGCGGACTTTTTTGACAAATAATTGGTTAATCGTCATGAAAATGTTAGTTTTTAGGTTTCTGGGGTCGCTTATCACAAATTTGATATCAAAATTATTAAATTCAAAATGGCGCACCAAAAATGGCGGACTTAAAAAAAAAATATTTAGTTAATTGTCCTAAAAAATGTTAATTTTTAGGTTTTTGGGGTCGCTCATCACGAATTTAATATTAAAATTATTAAATTAAAAATGGCGGACCAAAAATGGCGGATTTTTTTGAAAAATAATTAGTTAATTGTCCTGAAAATGTTAATTTTTAGGTTTTTGGGGTCGCTTATCACGAATTTGATATTAAAATTATTAAATTTAAAATAGCGGACCAAAAGTGGCGGATTACACCATTTTTGTACCTTCACATACAAATATACTTTTAATAACTGAGAGTTAAATTAATTCTTTTAAATCAATATTTATTTTAATTTAAACTTTTCAAATGTTTAAAAAAAGTAAATTGAATTTATATTTTAAGAAATCAACTTTTATTTAAATTTAAACGAGTAAATGCAATTCAGAAATAAAAGTGTAAAGTTTGTTTTTAATATATAAGTTAATAAATTTGCTTTTTCCTTTTAAATAAAGTGAATTATTATTTTTAAACATGGTTTTTTAAATTAAATAACATTATTTTTAAAGGTAATAAAAAAATTAATTAATTATTACTTCTTGAATTAAAACATCTTTTCGATGAAAGTAAAAATATTTTTATATGTAGTGCAAAAATTAATAAACCATTTGCATAAATAATTTTTTCTGTATATTTGTTATCCTATTATAAAATCTTAAAAAATATATTTACTAAGCATCTCTGCGTTTAACCGCGACTACTGTCTCAAATCCGGGCACGAACGTGTATATTATTGTTTTATTAATTTTCGCGCAAGTGGCTGCAGCCAATTTTTTAAGAACCTTATAATATATTATAGACACTTCAATGAACGTTTCCCCGTAAAAAACGTCTTCCGCAAATGCCCACATTTTAACTTATTCCAAGTAAAAAAAAAACGAAAAAATCGAAAAAAAATTAAAATCAGGCCATTATGTTAGTATAAATTTTAACAACAAATAATTTTTTTTTCAAAAATATAATTTTATAAAATTATTGTACATACCTTCAGAAACATTTTCCATTTTGAACTGTTAAAATCGAACAAGTCGTTAACGAAATAATAGCACTTTTGTTGCACAACCAAAATCAACACAATAACTGTTTCCAAGGAATTGCAAAAAAAGGTTAAATAAAACTGCCCTAGGGATCAGGTTGGGCGATTTTATACCTAAACTCTTTGGTTTTTAAATACTTCAAACATTTGTCTACCTGTATGAATTAATGTCATAATTAATACCTTTATTTTTGGGCTTTTGGCCAAGGTCAAGCACGATTCGGACCAGTGTGCGTCTGTAGGCTTTTTTGAATGGCCAGACGGTTGTGGCCGGCACTCGGCCGAGTAAACATAACACACAGTTGATCAGGCGGACATACCCGTTCTACACGCCGAAAGAAATACGTGTGTCGGGCCGCACGCGGCCGATTCGGCAAAACGTATTCGGGCCGGCTAGCTTGTGCTTACTAGGAGTTCTCTCCGTGTACATCCTGTAAAATAAATATATAGTATATAGTATTATATATAACTA